CCCCTTACCATAATCATGAGCTTCATCTTTCAAAATAAATGCAAAGACAGAGCCCGAAAGGGGAACAGAGTCTCGTGACAGACACAGTGATGAAGCTGGTCTCTCTAGCTCTCTCTCTCTCTCTCTCTATCTCACACACACGCGCGCACACACACACACACGATGCGCAAAACTCCGCATTTGACCAGTCAGTAGCAAATACTTAAACTAATAACAAAACAGTAGCTGATTCTGAATTACCTCCTCTCCTAGGTTCACGAAATGGTCGTCCATAAAATGCATTGCTGTTCTGTTGTAAGTCATCTTAAAGATTCCTAAATGCATCTACTTTCGGAAGGCCAAATAAAGTGCTTTTGCTTTCGCCTAGAAACACACAGTGTCTCCCTGAAATGGCTGCTACAACACTAACTGCGGTTACTGAAACCACGCCTTCTTTCTTTGCGTGCACATTTGGGCGGCATTATGCAAATATTTCCACATAGTGAGGTAGATATGAATGGGCGTGTTAGAACAAGCCGTTTTAGGGGGGCGTGGCAGAGTCTTAACTTTGATAAAGAATATATCTTTGGTTTCGAGACTTTAGTCTTTGCAACTTCAGGGATCTTATCTATGCACAATCAGCTTGTAACACTCCAAAGAGAAAGGAAAACTTGAAATCGCATCATATGAGCCCTTTAAAACCATATTAACAGTAGGCCTATAAAATATTTAAAAAATAATATAAATGTTCTAAATGAGTTGTTTATTAGTATATAATATAGATTTATGCTGTAAAATATTAAATTAAATGTCTAATACTTATAGGCGAGAGTCGGGTAAGATTAGCCATTTTTTACTTATGCGGTCCTCAAGATAAGTTAAAATGATGCAGAAGTACAATGAAGTACAAAAGTATCTATCCTATATCCTATCCTAATGAAAGTATTCCTATCATTTTAAATGATCAGTATGTATCTATGACAAAGGGTTCTAAAAATATGGCTTCTTATAAAAAAGTGTTCCCATGGTAAAAGTCTTTAATATTATCCACACAAGGTAATCCACAACAGGAAGGCATGAGAAACACATGCACGTTGATGAGACCGGACAAAGAAACACTGAACTGAATACAACTTATATGGGGAGGATAATTGACAAGACACACCTGAACATAATGACACAATCAAGGGAAGACAGAAACTAGGTCAATGGAACATGAGGAATTAAATGAAAACAAACACAATAGTTCATAACTGTGACAATCACATTAAAATTCCAGTTTATAATTCAGAGATTTAACTTAACTACAGTGCCTTATGATGGGGTAAGTTAAAATGCTGACTCAGTTTACCCCACAGCATTTGGCTTACTTTGCCCCATAGCTGCCATATGGAAAAAATAGCTACTGTTGCTTACCAGTTCAGGCTGATATTTAGCTAAATGGTTTTATATGTTGCTAAATCCCCTGTATGTATCATAAATATTTTTGGACCTGGATCAATTTGCTTTAATGTAACAACCATATGTTATGCTAAAATTGTACTTTGACAAGCCAAAAACTGTTTTTAAAGTAAATGGGTGCCTTCCATTCCCCCCATATGTTTCTCCTTTTCACAGTCTGGCAGAAATGATAGATGGTTCCAAAATACATGGTCACATGACAGTAAAAGTGTACAGTTGCCAAGAAACAGGGGGTGGGTCAACTTACCCACTGGGTTAACTTACCCCACTCTCCCCTACTTCAATTGAAGATGAGGCAGAAGCAGGCTCAGAGAGTGAGAAAGAGACTATTCTTATCAAAACATCTACAATAAAGAAATTATTTCAGAGTGTGCTGTCTTCTCTTTTAATTGTATATTTGTAACAACTGGATCATTTGTATTAACAAGCACCCACCCCCCTAGTGCCCCTTTTTTGGTTTGGGCCACTGCCCCTCAAAATGTCTGTGCACGGCCCTGTCTTGGTGCAGGTAACAAAGAAAAATAGCCTACAAATTGTTCATTTACTTATACCACCCGCATTGTAACAATACAAAGCTGGTTGAAAATCAGTGAACTTAACCTTTAAAGTACATTTCTTAACTGATTAACTCAGCTGGCTGTCAAGAGATACTAGTGTCAAACTGCTTCTCAAACTGTGGAAGTTGTACCAAACCTGTGCTTTGCTAGTTTTGGCACAACTTCCACAGTGATTGTCAAACAGTACTGACACCTTATTACAAATAACTCTGGAACTGAACATTCAAATTGCTCCAAATAAAAAGTAAAATGAAATGAACAAATATGTACATTTGCTGTGAAAAAAAAAACTTTTCCGGTTTCTAGACTTATTGGGGGTCACTTGCAGGTTGCCAATTTTTTACGGTGTGCACAACCATATTAAGCATCACCTCTTTTTGTCTCCCTCCAGGGTGAGAGTTGTGGAACAGGGTGATGGGAGTCCAGGACTCTCTATTGCCAGGATTACGGCATGTCATGAAGCAGTCGGCTCAACTTCTGCTGCTGGTTCTAATGCTCTGGATGCTGCTTTTCCTTGCTGTCTTTACCTACTTAACTGACTCGAGTTCCCTTTTCAACTCTGAATCTCAACACTCAACCTATGTTCAGCATAGTGCCCAGGCCATCATGGCGTCCCATAATTCCCGCTGGGGTCTGTATGCAGAGAGGAGGGGTCCTTTCCAGCGCAGGCAAGTGTTTCAACCTCCTCGCACTAGAGAAGAATTTCATTTCAGGAATTCTGATGAACGTCCTAAAAAAGTGACTCCTAACAGTAACTACAGTAATGACTATTTTTCCAATGGGTGGTCGCTGGTTCGTGGTCTGTGGAAGGGACAAGTGTCCTCCAAAATGCTAAGCCAACGACTACGGCGAGCCATGAGGGACCATGTTCACTCTAATAAGCACAAAGTTCTCTACAAAGGCCAACAAAAGACAACCAAGAGTAGACAGGAGATGCTGTGTGAGATGAAACAGCAAGCAAAACTCAGGACTCTGGATGGCTCTGAACAGCCCTTTTCTCACCTAGGTTTTCAACAGCTGGCTCCTTATAAATTGCAGCAGATGTACACAACATGTGCTGTGGTGACTTCAGCAGGGGCAATACTTAACTCATCACTGGGACGTGAAATTGGTGAGTTGGCTAGGAACAATATGCATATACTATATACACTAGTGGTCATAAGTTTGGAATAAGATTTGTTTTACCTTTTTTTTGTTAAAAGAAGTGTGTTACAATCACCAAGTCTCCATGTATTTGTTTAAAAAAAACAGTATTACTGTGAAATATTAGTACAATATAAGCTAAATATATTTCTTTTAATAATTTAAAATGTAATTTATTCCTGTGATGACAAAGTTTTTCAGCAGCCATTACTCCAGTCAATCTCACATGATCCTTCAGAACTCATTCTAATATCCCGATTTGGATGCACAAGGATGCATTAAATTTATCAAAAGTGACATGCTGTCTGTACAGACATTACGTTTCATTCAGCCTGAGGCTTATTCATTTCACTTTTGGCTTGAAGGGGCTTTTACATCTGCCAAAATAAAAAAAAAATTATATTAAAAACAAACAAGCAAACCCAGCCCAGAATTAAAAAGAGACGCAAAGGAAACAAAATGCATTACTTTCCATAAAAAGTAACTCAGTAACATAATTAGTTGCTTTTTTAGGGAGTAACACAATATTGTAATGCATTACTTTTGAAAGTAACTTTCCCCAACACTGATAGACAATACAGAACTGTATCACAAATAAAATTATAGAGGTACATATAGGATACCTAAATCAAATATTATTGTGTTCCCATGCTCCAAAAGCTAAATAAATAAATAAAAATCCTCTATTGTGTTCTCATGCCATTCCAAAAGAGGATAAAATGAAGAGAGATGTATTACAGCAGGCAGAAATAAAGAAATATGTCAGTCACTCCCTCAGCAGCTGTATTAAAATCCCCATGATAGCAATATTGACTGTTGACAATATAAGATCCATCCATACATTTTATATTTATATATATAAATAAATAAATATATATATATAATTAAAATACCAAAAATAAAATTAAATAATAATATTTTCAATATTGAATACTGTCTTTGCTCTTTAATTTTGTGAGTGTTATGAATCCTGTCCATGGACTTCCGTCCAATCGCCACCAGAAGTCACTCGTCCATCATATTGACTCTCTCACTACACAGACTGTTACACGTCACCACGGACTACATTTCCCATCATACATTATACTGATTGCACACAGATGTAATCAATCACACTCACACTTAGACTTGTGCCGGAATTCGGTAATGCGATATATCACGGTAATGAATATACACGTTATCATGGGCACTTCTAAATACCGTGAATAATTATATATGACAAATTATTCCGAATTTTGAATGCATTTTAAGAATACTTTTCCCATCAACTGGTCAAAATGCACAACATTGCAGTATGCAGCATGAAAGACTTATGGAACGATATTCCGGACAATTTTCAAATAGAATAGCAAATTGTATTTTCAATTGCGTTTTCAATATGTGGACGCATAAATTGTGACATAATCCAAATGCAATTGCAAATCCTGCATTACCGTTTGCATTTTCGCTTTCGCAGTAAAAGTGTACAGTTGCCAAGAAACAGGGGGTGGGTCAACTTACCCACTGGGTTAACTTACCCCACTCTCCCCTACTTCCATTGAAGATGAGGCAGAAGCAGGCTCAGAGAGTGAGAGAGAGACTATTCTTATCAAAACATCTACAATAAAGAAATTATTTCAGAGTGTGCTGTCTTCTCTTTTAATTGTATATTTGTAACAACTGGATCATTTGTATTAACAAGCACCCACCCCCCTAGTGCCCCTTTTTTGGTTTGGGCCACTGCCCCTCAAAATGTCTGTGCACGGCCCTGTCTTGGTGCAGGTAACAAAGAAAAATAGCCTACAAATTGTTCATTTACTTATACCACCCGCATTGTAACAATACAAAGCTGGTTGAAAATCAGTGAACTTAACCTTTAAAGTACATTTCTTAACTGATTAACTCAGCTGGCTGTCAAGAGATACTAGTGTCAAACTGCTTCTCAAACTGTGGAAGTTGTACCAAACCTGTGCTTTGCTAGTTTTGGCACAACTTCCACAGTGATTGTCAAACAGTACTGACACCTTATTACAAATAACTCTGGAACTGAACATTCAAATTGCTCCAAATAAAAAGTAAAATGAAATGAACAAATATGTACATTTGCTGTGAAAAAAAAAACTTTTCCGGTTTCTAGACTTATTGGGGGTCACTTGCAGGTTGCCAATTTTTTACGGTGTGCACAACCATATTAAGCATCACCTCTTTTTGTCTCCCTCCAGGGTGAGAGTTGTGGAACAGGGTGATGGGAGTCCAGGACTCTCTATTGCCAGGATTACGGCATGTCATGAAGCAGTCTTTCCATAAAAAGTAACTCAGTAACATAATTAGTTGCTTTTTTAGGGAGTAACACAATATTGTAATGCATTACTTTTGAAAGTAACTTTCCCCAACACTGATAGACAATACAGAACTGTATCACAAATAAAATTATAGAGGTACATATAGGATACCTAAATCAAATATTATTGTGTTCCCATGCTCCAAAAGCTAAATAAATAAATAAAAATCCTCTATTGTGTTCTCATGCCATTCCAAAAGAGGATAAAATGAAGAGAGATGTATTACAGCAGGCAGAAATAAAGAAATATGTCAGTCACTCCCTCAGCAGCTGTATTAAAATCCCCATGATAGCAATATTGACTGTTGACAATATAAGATCCATCCATACATTTTATATTTATATATATAAATAAATAAATATATATATATAATTAAAATACCAAAAATAAAATAAAATAATAATATTTTCAATATTGAATACTGTCTTTGCTCTTTAATTTTGTGAGTGTTATGAATCCTGTCCATGGACTTCCGTCCAATCGCCACCAGAAGTCACTCGTCCATCATATTGACTCTCTCACTACACAGACTGTTACACGTCACCACGGACTACATTTCCCATCATACATTATACTGATTGCACACAGATGTAATCAATCACACTCACACTTAGAGATTTGGATGCACAAGGATGCATTAAATTTATCAAAAGTGACATGCTGTCTGTACAGACATTACGTTTCATTCAGCCTGAGGCTTATTCATTTCACTTTTGGCTTGAAGGGGCTTTTACATCTGCCAAAATAAAAAAAAAATTATATTAAAAACAAACAAGCAAACCCAGCCCAGAATTAAAAAGAGACGCAAAGGAAACAAAATGCATTACTTTCCATAAAAAGTAACTCAGTAACATAATTAGTTGCTTTTTTAGGGAGTAACACAATATTGTAATGCATTACTTTTGAAAGTAACTTTCCCCAACACTGATAGACAATACAGAACTGTATCACAAATAAAATTATAGAGGTACATATAGGATACCTAAATCAAATATTATTGTGTTCCCATGCTCCAAAAGCTAAATAAATAAATAAAAATCCTCTATTGTGTTCTCATGCCATTCCAAAAGAGGATAAAATGAAGAGAGATGTATTACAGCAGGCAGAAATAAAGAAATATGTCAGTCACTCCCTCAGCAGCTGTATTAAAATCCCCATGATAGCAATATTGACTGTTGACAATATAAGATCCATCCATACATTTTATATTTATATATATAAATAAATAAATATATATATATAATTAAAATACCAAAAATAAAATTAAATAATAATATTTTCAATATTGAATACTGTCTTTGCTCTTTAATTTTGTGAGTGTTATGAATCCTGTCCATGGACTTCCGTCCAATCGCCACCAGAAGTCACTCGTCCATCATATTGACTCTCTCACTACACAGACTGTTACACGTCACCACGGACTACATTTCCCATCATACATTATACTGATTGCACACAGATGTAATCAATCACACTCACACTTAGACTTGTGCCGGAATTCGGTAATGCGATATATCACGGTAATGAATATACACGTTATCATGGGCACTTCTAAATACCGTGAATAATTATATATGACAAATTATTCAGAATTTTGAATGCATTTTAAGAATACTTTTCCCATCAACTGGTCAAAATGCACAACATTGCAGTATGCAGCATGAAAGACTTATGGAACGATATTCCGGACAATTTTCAAATAGAATAGCAAATTGTATTTTCA